AACCTGAACACTCACCAGAACAATGGACTATTGTATTGTATGGTTAATACACAGCATATTATTGTTAGATATATCCATCAGAAATATATCCAGGCATCTGAATGAAGGAACTGATTGTAATCAATCCTGGAAATTCCAATTACCTCCAAATGAAGAGAGCTAGCTGTGTGCACTACTGTATGTAAATAACTCATCTCTGCACCTCTGTGACCCTGTTTGACCAGATGATGTACAAGATTTCCTAAACTGGAGAGTGCAAATTCTGGTGCAGCACTGCATAGAAACCAATCGCCTTCCAGGTTTTATTGTCAAAGCTTAATTACACAAGATTAAGGTAGAAACTGGCTGGCTACCATGTACAGCTGCAGTAGAATGTGAGTACTCCAGTTTTAGTAAATCTATCCCGATGCGTCTGAATTTCACTTTAGGTCACTTCCAAGAACTACTAACGGCCAACAGACTTTTTTCTGTTGAGCTAGGACATCCAGGTTTATTTATTAAACCTAAGCAAAGAGCAATGATAATAACAGTGCAAGAACCCAAACCAAGAATTAGAAATGATCACTTAGCTTACTGTTCAACAAGTTACATTGCTAGGAGTTACAGCACTTCACACATCCTGCACTGTTTTATGAAAAAGACGGAGATGAAATCGTTGGACAATACAGGTCGGTGGGTTCTGGGATTGTACTTTAAAATTAGAGCTTATTAGCAGGGAAGCACATATTGCACTCAAAGCATATCCACCATCAGATTATTGCAATGTTAAATGGTTATCTAAACACAACAGATAGGTCTTCAGTGCAAATGATAGGTACTGATTGGCTGCCTCTTTCTGAACAGCCAATCAGTGCCTCTGCTTTAAAATTAGCACTGTAGAAGACGACTGAGCAGAAGAGTAAACAGCAGCTATTGTATTCTATTGTACAGCGCTGAGCAAACCCTTTGGCGCTATATAAACTCAATGTAATGTAATGTAAAAGCAGCTGGTCAGCCTCCAAGGAATCTGCTTTAGGAGAAAGGTAAGTATGCACAGGTTCTGTCTGTTGTTCAGTTAAAATTAAGCTGCTAATCAAAAGTCATTTTTTTATTTAGGGCCTATCCTAACAGGGAGCACTAAAGCAAGCTTGCTTATTTCTAAAATAACAAGTCTCTTGAGCATCCCACACAAAGTGTTTTTTTTTTTGTATGCATCCTTCTTTCTACAGTTTCTTTTTGTTCAGCTGTATCAGGAAATAAATGCACAAAACAATTATACTATAGTAAGTAACTCTCTGGCCAAGCCATCATTACATTTCAATGTCTGGAAAGTCCAACTCTGTATGAGGAAATCCTGAGAATAGTTCAAAGTGCAAACACATTTATGACATACCAAACAGAAGATTAGATCTAAAATCTCAGGAGAGGAAAAAACGTCTTAAAAAAAAACCTTCAGTAATGAAAAAGTACCAAATGAAGTTTTTTTCCCATGACAAAATGTTTTCATAAATATGCAGGTTTCTTCAATAAGGCACATAGAAAGAAATATTAATGGAAGAATTGCTGTAGCCCAAAAAGAATTAGCTCCGTCTTGGCCAAACAGTGAATGATAAATTCTTGTTGGTTAATGCAAGTTAATTTACTTTGCATATCATTGATGTCTTTTGCGCTGCTTTACTTATTATGTCTTATAGACATAGCAGTAACAGTGATTTACTAAACTTAAAAAGACCTGATTTATAATTGTTTATTTTGTTAAACAATGTTTTTTTCGAAGCATGGATTCCTGTACATCTGCACAGTTTAACTATTCCAAATATATGTGCAATGTAAATTGACAGAGCTCTATTGCCAAATGAACATGATAAATACTTTATTGTAATTAAAGTTCATCTTGTCAAGAAAATAGCAAGTACTATCGAGGGGCCCCAGCAGGTGAAAAAAACATGTGTAGCTTTGAAAAATGTTAATTAACGTAATTACCATACCATACCTTTAGGCTATTATCACCCCCCCCCCCCCCCCCGTTACCTTGCTGAAGTCTGGCTGAAAAACTCCCATAGATAGCATTCTCTTATCCTTTCTTGTTGCTAAGACACTTCAGCCATTAGATGCTTGCCCCCAGCATCACATGAGCAAGCAGTGTCCCTCATACAAACTCCAGTGCATGTGCTGCATGCTCTTTCTACCCATGTTGCAGCAGCAGCTGAGCTTGCAGGGGAAAAAAGAGTGCACTTCTCATATGTGGCTGTCTAATGAGAGAGAGCTCAATCCTGTGATACTGGGAGTGAGCGCCCAACAGCTGGAGTGCCCTAGCAACAAGGCAGGATGCGGAATGCTAACTATGGGAGTTTTTCAGCCATACTTTTTGGGAAGGGGGTGCATTTAGCTACAAATGGCCACCAGTATTGTAATTACATCAATCAACATTATTCAGTATTGGTTTTGTATCAACCTACTGGGGCCCTTTGCCTAGGCTAATTTCTTGAAAAGGTGAGCTCAACCTTAAAGGTTTTTGTATAGAAAAGACAAACCTCCATACTCACCTCATTATTGTGATGCTGGAGTGGTCCCACGATGGCTCTAAGAACTGACCACTGATCTCTTAGTTCTCAGTTTGCTTGGAATGGAGAGCAGAGATTGTTAGTCACTGCTCTCCACTCCTCCAGAGCTCACTAGAGTACTGAGCCGGGGAGGGGGCGCTGAGAGCTAGATTGAGAATGAACTGTCAATCAGGCAGCTAAGTGGATCCCAATAACATTGTTGGGATCCTTCCAGAGCTTGGAGCAACACTGTGACATTGGCTTATAGTGGGCAATAGCTGACTCTGGGTCACAAGAGAGCAGAAGTAAGTGCACTCCTCTTAGCTATAAGAGAAGTATGACCAAAAAAAGCTTTGTCCATATTTAAATATTAAAGAGACACTAAATTCTGTTTTTAAAATAAATGCAATATATCCATATATAAGTAGAAAGTACCTTCTATCTCCCTTTTCCTTTGTTTCATCTCTCAAATGCAAACTTTTTTTCTGCTATTCTCAAACTTCCTGTTCTAGGATGTCTTCCTTTGTCCTCCATGCACCTCTTTTGTATGTGAAAGTAGCAATCTTTTACTGTTTGCCCCCAGGATAGACTATACAGCTTCATGCAGACTCATTCAGTTCTATGAAAATTGTAGTACACAGAGAGCGGAGCATGTGACCAGAAATAATGGCACTGCTCATTCTACACTAGTATCAGTGAGGTGCATCAGTGGAGAATAGGGAGTTTGCATAGGACAAAAAAGAAGCCTGAAAACAATGGTAAGAGACTTAAAAAAATATCATGGTATGCCTGATATCTTAGAACAATTGATGGCAAAAAATTTAGTTTAGTGTACCTTTAAGCCTTAAGGTACATGACAACCATTGGGGTTAATACAAATGTCTGCTACTTCGTGCACTAAACATTTTTTTTTCTTGTTAGAAGCATCACTATGCCTTTTTTAGTTGTTCTATTTATATATTAGCATACATCTCAAAGGGATTTTCCCACATGAAATCATTTTCTTTCCTTTGCACTCGCAATACACAGTAGAACTGCTGACTGATGGCAGTTTCTCGTCTACAAAGTCTGACACTGCAAAACTCACTACAGTTCCCTTATGTTAGTATTATGTCTCAGACATTATTTTTATGTTATGCTTTAATATTATGTGCATTTCTCAGTATTTATTACACCTCTTGCATTGTAAGGTGCCAAATGAAACAAAGGTGCTATATGAATCAATAGAAAATTATCATGAAAGGAATAATATGAACGATTCTGGTATATAAAAATGATGACTATAAGTTACCACAGGCCACCCATGTTGCTTGAAAGTCTGTCAGCATACTGGAAATTGTTTGTTCACAGATAAGCCATGCTCCTAATTAACACACTATTGGGGTAGTATGACATGAAAAGAATAATGTATTTGAATATATGGTGTGGGACTCTTTTAAAGGTCTCATAATATCTTTAACATCTTCTTTGATGAAAGAAGGATTTTTATTAGGAGGGTATACGCAAAGCTTATGCCTCATGATAACAATCCTTACTTTTATGCTTATACCTTTTTCAACTAGCCAATAAAAATGGAAAATCAAAAGTAAGGGGAAGTCTTTAGACCGGATCCTGTTGAACAGAAAGGAATACACATGTACTAAAATTTGGCCATTTCCTGAAGAACCAGCTGAATTGTGGGACATGTGTAGTGGGTTTAACATCATGAAGGAAGCCTGTATGAGCCAAGATCGGTGGGTATAGCTGCTTTTGAAGGCCCCTAGACATAAAGTGCATTCAACCCATACAGATTGGGGCAGCCCCACTGCAAGTGAGGATTTTTACTTTCCCCAGAAATCACCTTTAAGTCATATATCTACAAAGATCCTTATCTTTATAATAAAACTTTTTAAAATAGAGCTTCAGGTATGCAAAACTAAATGAAACCTGTTGTATAGAAGCTGTCAGTGCTGTTCTCCTTGTGTAAATACTAGCTGTCTGGCTATCATGCTAACCATTTATTTTGTATTTTTAGTCCTCGAACAGAGGCTTCTGACTTTTCTCTGATTTCTCTGATCTTACAGAACAGTTGTTCAGAAAGCACTTTAGCCAAAATACAGGTTGAGAGCCAGCTAACTAGCAATTTGAGAAGCAGATCATCATGGCAGGCCACATTTTTCTTTTGTGGCAGGTTTGCTTTACATAATGTTAATTCCACATATTATTTAGAAAAAAGAAATATGACAAAGTGATTGCTATGTTTCCTTACATCTGAGGTATCCTATTATTATTTGAATTTATACATTTATTAATGCATATTTAATAAAGCAGCACAAACGGCAACTGCAGTAACCCATAGCAAAGAGATCTTTTTTTGTTTGTCATTGGGAGGCAATTAACTACTGAGATATTGAACTATATTGCACACTGTGAATTTTGCTTCTCTGGGGAAATAAAAATCTTCCAATATTGTTTTCCCAGATTCATGAAACCTACATCCGAAATATTGCCTGTTTCATGGAAGAAGATTTTGAAAATGTCCTTCAACCCGTGGATAGGGTTGTTGTTGACAAAAGTAATGACTGTTGGGCAGTAAGGACTCAGCTGAAAGTTTTAATGAGACAGGTAATGTAAAGTGCTTTAAGGGTAGCACAGGGTATTACTATTGTTATTGTTACTAGCAAGTGTCTGTCAGAACACATATATGTTTGTTACAATGAATGCAGTTTGCTTTCTGAAATTGCATTCACATCTCTATATTTTGTGTGTTGCATGTGGAGTGCAATAAAAATACTTCAGCATGTTTTATTTTTGCTGCAGATTCCACACTTCTCATGGGTGTGGACAGCCACTCATTGTGAAACTTTATCTAATTGAAAATGAAGTGGTGTGAATGTAGCGTGAGAGGGACAACACGCATAGCAAATGTATAGATGATACAGCAAAGTGCATAATATGGAGAAATGTGGAGTAAACAGCACAGCAGTGTGTTCCAAATGAAACCATGCATAGAACTGTGTGGTTTATTTACTAAAACTGGTTCACTCAGAAACTTGTGCAGTTATGCATGGAAACCAACCGTCTTCCAGGTTTTATTGCTAAAGCTTAACTGAACAAGCTGAGGTTAGAAGCTGACTGGCTACCATACACAGGTGCACCAGATTGAGTGAACCATCTTTAGTAAATCTCCCCCTGTATGTACTAGAGAGCATATCAACCCTAAACCAGAAATATTAGTGTGACAATAATATTCTTAGATCAAATGTCCAGGTTCAAATTGCCAAACCTTCAGTCTGTCCATGGTGGAAAGGGACAAGGTGTAGGCATGATGAGTGACTGAGTGAGTGAGATCTAGATGAGGAGGCAGATTTCTTAATGAGTTGTCACTTACTGCCTCCTCTATATGCCTCAACACCATACATATCCAGGAACCTGTTACTCCAAATTTCTCATACATACATAGCCTGATTCAATGGTTAAACTGGTGTTATCCCTGGCTCTCCACTACCCACTTATACCTTTGACATACCCTGTACCCAGGAGTCCTGTTAAGTATTACTGATAAGTTAGGTGCACACCTCAAGTCTGTAGAACAAAGATGCCAAGAATTCCTTGCCTTTGGGTCATATACAGATGTAGTGCCTGTGATCTTTTCCATTCTCCTAGCCACCACAACAAGAACTGCTATCATCAAAGCCAAAGCATCTGTCAAATATAGGACCTGCAAGTTGTTTCCATAGCTCTAAGGCTGGATTCACCTGTTCATTTGAAACATACACTGAACTGTGTTTAGATCTTTGTGTGTAAAACAAACACAAAACCCATTAAGACACTTCTCGGCACACCAGTACATCAAATGTGCATGAACAGGCATCACGGCATGCATTAAAACATGTATATTTTAACTCAGAAGTGTGAATCCAAGCTAACAGCATGGAGGTGAACAACATGGAGGGGAAAATAGGAAAGGGCAAATAGAATGTAAAAAGAATTGCTGGCAATTAAAAAAAAAATAACAAAAAATGGATTGAGGAAGGGGGGCTCCTCCCCAAAGCACTTTGTCCCCATGTTGATTGCAGCAAGGGAATTATCAGAATCCAGAAGCCCCTTTTACAGGGAGACCCCCAGATCCCGGACCCCTCCATGTTAATGAGTATGGGTACATGGTACCACTACTCATTCACAAAAAAAGAAAAAAAGTGTAGTGTAAAAAGTGACAGAAGACAGTCTTTACCAAGTTCTTTATTATAAACAAAAATAAAAAAATATTCCCCGAAGTAGATCCAACATCAATCATGATGGCCGTCCCTGCCACCAACCCAAAAAAAGAAAAAAAACCCCGCTTTGCTGCCTCCTGGCTGTCTGACAGCTGTGCCGGCCTGACAGTTCTTAAATATCTAAGGGGCGGGGTTACCTGGTGACATCAACGTGTGCCATGATTGGCCAGGTGCATTGCTTTGGCTCGTGGGGGCGCGGCGGGCGCATAGCCCGCTGAGTACCCTTACTGAGTCCACTGAACACACCAACGGCCAATGTTTGACTCGATCTTAAGTTCAACTCGAACATCAAGCCCAACTCTAGTGATGGATGATGTGTGTAGGCATTTTAATGTAAGCACTCAAAAGTGCAAAGAAATATTACTCTTCTTTCCCATAATATCACTGTGGAGTCCAACAATCCTTGATTTGATAACATAATACTTATGCAATGTATTTATTAACCTACAAAAGCATGCTTTATGATACCGATTTAATAAATAAAAAAATGATATTTATGGTTCTTTCTTTACAGATGATTGTGGGCAATTATGGACCAGATATATCAGCAATAATCAGAGGTATGTACTAAATGTAATATTGGTAATATACAAGTTCCCTAATGTATAGCCAGTAAACTGATAGAAAGATTTCTGATTCTAATTAAAGAAGTAAGATATTTGACTACCAACATAACAGAATCATATATATGTTTTTTTTACACAGAAAAGGTTTCAGAAATGGTTCCAATTGTCGCTGCTGAGAAGCAAACACAAACAAGACAACTCTTTGCTACCCACTTCACTGGAAACGGGAAACCCCAACTTCAGCAAGAAAGTAATGCTTTCAAGTCATAGTATTTAATATGGAGCATTTTTTGTTGTTGTAGAGTGATCTAAATCGTATTGTATCATTACAAATAACGTCTTTATTTCCCCTGATATCAAATTCACAAAAAGTTAGATATCAGAATATACATAGAATAGTCTGCAAGACTGCTTGAGAAAGATGGGCTGTGCACCACTGAAACATTGATATTTATTAAATTACATTAGAAAACCCCTCCTATTGTAAGTCCCACTGAGTGCACCTGCTGCCTGCTTCATATTTTACATAATTTTTCATTGATTGCACCCAGGCGAATATCCTTTTAAGTATGTGCAGTGGCCCACCTCTACACTTTCTGAAATAGTCTGAAATATATTACCAACATATAGTGTGTGTGGGCAAACTCCAGCAAAAAAAAAAATATATATATTCTCTAGTTATGGGTATATTGAGTACTGGTATGAGGCTTTGTTTATTTGGGAGAATCACTCTTGCTTTCTGTCCTGGGGAACATTGTCCCAGTGTGGTCAAGAGTTTAAAAAAAAAAAAACTAAACTGTTTGTATTTTTCTTCCAATCAGGTCTTTTGAATAGTCACTATAAGGGAGATAAAATAACTGAATGGTCTGAAAAAAAGTCCTCAACTTCAAGTAACCAAATCAAAATGGAAAATGGAGACCTGGTCATTCCAGAAAATGGCCTCTACTACATCTATGCCCAGACATACTTCCGTTACAAGGACCCAGACGAGGGAAAAAGTAAACAGCTAGTGCAATATATTTACAGAAGAACAGACTACCCCCGTCCCATAGCACTGATGAAAAATGTGAAGACAACTTGTTGGTCCAAAGAGGCACAGCATGAACTGCACTCCATTTACCAAGGAGGTGTTTTTAAACTAAATAAGAATGACCGAATTTTTGTTTCAGCAAGTAATGCAAGTATGGTAGACACAGAGGCAGCAGGAACCTTTTTTGGAGCATTCCAGGTTTTCTAACCAGCAATGGATTATGAGGAAACTGGAAAGATTATGAACATTTGAAAAGGCAATAAAAGGAAACCTGTCATCTAAGAAATACAAAAGCAACTATTGGTGACCTCCTGAAATTCTAGCAAGGGGTACTTAGTCACATTTCAGTGGACTTGTTATATAATATCTGAAGGACGCTAATGAGTATCAGAAACACTCATGGCTGAATTACCTGTGTGGCAATAAATGCTGGGTATGATCCTGACACTCATTAGAGCTGAGGAAGATGACTAAGAAAACATCCCTCATTATGACAGAACAAGTCCATTTGAATGTGACTAATTAGCTACACCATGACCTGGTGACCTGGTCAAATAAGAACCTTCAGAGACATTCTGAAACATAGTATGTTTCAAAGCAGATCAACAATGACAACCTTTATATTCTTATGACGGGTTTCCTTTAAGTATTTGAACCAACAATATGCCTTTTAATATGTGCTGAAAAATGGAAATTGGTCATTGACAAACTTAACATTCTCCAGCCATTTACAGGCTTATTTTGCATGCACAATGTAAAATGAGCAACAGTTGATGGCAAACAAATTGAACTCCTATTATGAGATGTCTGACTGCAGCTAAAATTTCATTGGTTTCTTTGGAGAAGTGGATTCTGGACAGGCCTGTTTTTTTTTTTATGCCACCCTATTGAATACATGTTCTAAAAAACAACCAACCAATCTATTCTTCCTCCTGCATTTCTATACTTCATGGTAGGCACAAACTCTTTTCCCCTATATGACTTCTCACGCTGCAGTTTATAGCATCTCATTAATTTCCATTGAAGGAAAGTTTTTTCGTCTGCCATTATGGCATTTTTGAAGGATAACTGTGAAAACTTTGTACAACCGCCAGAACATTCAAGGCTACAGAAGCCTAGACAATGGTTTTCACATATGGAAGTATACTTTTTTTTTATTCATGTTTGATACCCTGATATTGGTATTATTAACGTCAACATATTGCTCATGGCAAGATAATTTGCTTTTACCCGTACCACACTAATAAATTCAGAAGCGTTAACACCTCCTTACCAAGAGAGGGAAAGGAGCGTCTCTTCAAACCTTCTGAATCCTGCTGGCTGGTCTTGCTGGACCTTTTTAACTGAAGAGAAGAATGATTTGCCTGCTACTATTCTAAAGACTAAAAAGTCAACTTCCATGCATTGAAAAACAGACATATTACATGCAGGAAAACATTCTTGAGCAATCTTACCAAGATTGAAATCAACACAAAATTTAAAGAATGTTATTAAGAGAGCTACTTAAAAAACTGGACAAAATAAATTGGGAGCAAAAGTGGAATTGTTGCTCATAGTAACCATTGACTATTGGTGTTCTGTAGTAATATATATATATATATATATATATATATATATATATATATATATACTATAAGTACTGCAAACACACCACCTAAGTGCTCCTTAATGACCAAAATACATTTTATTGTCATTGTCACAGAAAATCAAAAGTAAAAAGGCATTATGGGCAGTTACTCTACTTTCTCATTTAGTTTTCTCCAGTTTTTTTTAATAGTCCTTTAAATTTCACAACAAACAGCTGTAGTGCTATTTAAGAGTACCTGTATGTAGGCAAAGAGGGTTATTCAACCAAAGTAAAAGCTGCAGATCAGCCATACCTGTGTGATTATAGAATGGTCAGATTCTATAGAACAGATAACATAACTAGATGATGACATATTGGATTCATCATTAGGTGTAATCAGCATCTGAAAGATCTCAGATTTTCATCGAATCGGTGGGCTTTGGGCTCATACATCCTGTGACTAGCATGGCATGGAGCCATTTGAGTTTATACTAACCTAATTGGTTGGCACAGCCTCACAATGTAGTTCCCAGGTAAGTGATTTAATTTCACCAAATTGTTAGCAATTTATGATTGTTGATAGAAATTTGTAATGCATTGTCATAAAATAAACTGTGACTGTGGCATTTTCCATACCAACACAAAACTTTAACATTTACTTTCCTATGGAAATTACAATATTCTGCTTATAATAAGCAAATCTACTTTATATTTGTAATAGATTTATTTATTTACATTGCCTTTCCAAGCACAAATTAGCACATCACATAGTTCTTTACTCCTCAAGGAAAGAGCCGTTCACTGAATGCTTCAGAACAGAGTACTCACTTTGATGCCAATTTGTGCTGAAGTGCAGTGTTAATAAATAAAACTCATTAGAGCTCATTTAATAATATACATTTAGACTTTAGAAGTTTAGCATTAAACAGTAATTGTTCAAGAAGCTATAATGGGCAGTAACTCACAGAAGCCAATGAGAAATCAACTTTCAACATTTTTATATGTTCAAATCAACAAAAGCTGATTTTTTATTGGTTTATGTTATTGCATAAAATCTAACTTGACTTTTTGGGGGGTCATGTAAATGCATGTTAGTAAATGAGCAGTATTATTTTTTTTTAATGAAGACATCTGCCTATAGTAGCATTGTAAATAATTGATCTCATATATTCCTTTGTAATAATTACAGTCATATATACAAACATAATAAACTTTGATATTTCACTCGGTTGTATCATTTTAGATCAAGATTTAAGTACACTAAATCAAGTTAAAGTTGTTAAAAAATTACCTAAAAAGCTTAAGTAACACTTTCTACTATGTATACCCTAAACCACAATAGATATTTTAAGCCATTCAGGTGCCTGAGATTAACTCCATATGTTCTAAATTACTTTTGCCAACAACAGCCCAACTCCTGCCAAAAATATTTTGGTAGTTTTGTATAGATTTTGGAAGATTAAATATGTCTGTTCGGCTTTCATTGCTGTCTAAAATGCCATCTGAGAGATTTCACATAATTTCCTGTTACAGCGACAGCAGAACAAAACATGAAGGGTGCTGTTGTCACTACCAAGTAAGATGCATACAGTAATAACCAACCTACCAGAGATTCTAACACATCACTAAATACTGAGAAACAAAATTGTTATAGTATTTGTTCCAACTAGAGAGCTTTCCCATCACTGACAGAGGACTTCAAACAGAGAAAAAATGTTTTGGCTGGAGTTAGGCTCAAATTTAAAACTACTACACACAATTTTAAAAAATCTAATTCAGATCTTTTTATTATATACATTCTTCCACTATGTGGGATAAAATATTTTCATGTAACCTTACTGTCTAAAGGCAAACCACTATGTACAGTATGTAACACTTCTGAAAAATGTAATGTACGTGTATTTCAAAATGTAAAGGATCATTACGTCAATTAATTACTACTGCTCTTTCTCTAGAATACTGTCAATATTTTTTGTATGTAAATCATTTCTATATTTTTACTGCTACAGTGTATTTTTGATACAAAATAAAAATGGGAATATTACATTCAGGATCTTTTTTTTTCTACTTTCAAAATTGGAAGTAGACATAAGGTTTACCAAAAAAATATTTAAGGGAATGAATAATGTTTTTTTTTATCTTTTTTAATATAGACAAAGCAAAAAACAAATTAAAAAAAAGAATTTCCTTCTGTAATATGAACTATTGCATATATGAATATATAGCTACTTAGGACTGGCATAGGTCTGCCAACTTTGTCCCATGGCCTGATACGTGGATTTAGGATAGGATCACACCTAGGCGGTGTGTGGGACTGCATGTATAAACACACTGCTGTTTAACAGATGCATGAAAATGCCATCAATTCTTAATGGCACCCCCATGCGTTGTAAATCATTTTCCAATTCACAAAAACATAGTACTATGCAGTTTCCGTGTGGCTGTAGTTTTAGAAAAGGTACATTGACCTTCCTACTTATCGTGCAGGTACAGCAGCCCATTCAAACTGAATGGACTGCTGTGCCTGCGCAAACATAGCCACAGGGAAACCTTTTATGAACCTTGCCTTAGGTGAATATAAGGGGCATTTAGGTAGGGTTTTTCTTATTTATTTTATGGAAAAAACTAGATTGGATGATATCTATGGGGGAATCCCAGAAAGAGGATTTAAAGAAGCTCACTGTTTAGAGAATGCAGTAGTTTAAGCTGGAATGTACTCATTACAATGATTTGCACAGTCCAAACTTTATGTAGCACTAGTTCCTTAGGGGTTTCTTAGTAATTTTGGGTCCCTGTCAATCTGGACCTCTTTTTGAAAGCCCAACCTCTGCTGACACCACAGTGCTCTTTTGACCAAAATATATCACAACTGTGACACAAGTTACTATAAACCAATATGAAGTTTATATTGGAATTAAAGGCAACTTGGTCAAAAAATAACAAAATGACAGTGATATATACAGCAAATATAATTACTCTTGATAATTGTGAGCAAAAGTAATGACATTCACAGTAAAGCAACAATAACTGTTGGCAGGCTTGCGTTCAGAAATAATCCACTGCCTCCAATCTGAGGGGACTGCTGCTGAATCTCCAGTAAGCAGGAACAACTATCAAGAAACAGGTAAGCTCACTGTGGGTCCTCAGAGCTAGATAACAAGTATTAGCCATGAAGGAAAGATAATTCTCATTTGAAATTGAGCACTGTCCCTTTAAGAACTCTACAGTGTCTTCTGCACGCTTGTTGGGGCCCAGTTGGTATGAAGTTGAGTTGAGGTGTGGAATATAGTTCCTTAGGATGGTAACACACAAAGATAGCGAAGGGAGATTTAACACTTTTCCTCTTGGTGGTACAGATTTAGGACGGGGCCCCTTTTAAAGCACTAAACATAGGGCAGGCTTGAAGTAATGAATAGCAACAATTGGCATAGGTTTCTATGGACAAAGACAACTCCCTCTGAATAACAAAGGCAAAATAAGCTGTAGTAGGAATCCTGCTTTGTTAAAGAAGGGAAACTTGTTTTAATTGGCACTGCTGTATCCAGGCCTACAACTGTATGCCCTGCGATCAGCTTGTATGATAAACTGTAATGCAGATGTATCTCAACAATAGCGGCTGGGCAGGGGCGGACTGACAACT